TCTGTCACATTTTCAAAATTCGACAGATAACGTCCACAGCCTTTCATACACAATCATTTGGCTCACACTATACTTTCATTTAATATCTACGTCACTTTTGCACGGGAGATAACTGGGATCAATGGACCCGATTTACTATGTTTTCCTATAATACACATGTACATGAAGTACGCAGTTTTACTCCTTATGAGGCATTTTATAGAAGGAATGCAATTATTCCATCTTCATTCGTAAAACAAAAGGTTTCTCTAATATATATTGATTTTTTTGATCAGCTAGCCCAATAATTAGCCAGTACACAATCCATGGTAGCAGAAAATGACAATAAATCTAAGGAAAAATATAAAGAATATTATGATCGATCATTAAATGTTAAAGATTTTCAAGTTGGAGAAAAAGTTTACTTACAGAAAAAACTTCGAAGTAAGTTTGAACCACATTACACAGGTCCTTATGAAATAGTACAAGCAATAAATAACATCAATTTCAAAATCAAATTAAATGCTGGATACAAAATTGTACATGCTAACAAGTTAAAGCAAGCAGCAATTAAGCTTGATTAATTTTCAATTTTTTTTCAAAATACCACTCAATGTCTCAAAAAAAAGTCAATTGTAAGCGGGGGAAAGCGAAATCCATATAATATACTGTAAACAAAAAATAGTCAAGTTAATTTCTTTATACTTGTGCGAATTCGAGTATTTATATTGCTGCACTTACGAGGTCTGCCCGGAAAGTATCTGGCCTACCTTTATATTTTTGTGCTAGCTCTATTCTTTATCATCTGGTGGGTGGCATCCTTCAAAGTAATCCCCACTTGATTGAATAACATGGTTTCATCGATGTTTCCACTTTTCAAAACAGTTCTGGAACTCACTTTTAGGGATAGCCTTAAGTACACTCATCGCATTGTATTCAACTGTTGTTTTGTCATCGAATCGGTGTCCTTTGAGTGGTTTTTTTAGTTTTGGAAACAGCCAAAAGTCACAAGGGGCTATGTCGGGACTGTATGGGGGTTGTCGAAGCAATGCGATATTGTGTTTGCTCAAAAACTGGTGCACAAGATTGGATGAATGGACTGGCGCATTATCGTGATGGAGAAGCCAGTCACCACTTTTCCAAAAGTACGGCCGTTTTCTTCTTACTGCATCACGCAAACGTTTCAAAATTTGAACGTAGTATTCTTTATTGATTGTCTGACCTGTTGGTGCATATTCGTGATGTACAACACCTTCACAATCGAAAAAAAAAATCAACTTTGACTTAACATTGCTCCAACTTTGACGTGCTTTTTTTGGTCTTGGCGATTCAGAATCCTTCCACTGTGAAGATTGTTGTTTTATTTCAGGATCATAACCATAAACCCATGATTCATCACCTGTAATTACTTTTCTCAGCACATTATCATCATTATTAACCATTTCCAGATTGTCCAGAGCGATTTCTAAGCCAATGTTCTTCTGCTCTACTGTGAGCAATTTTGGGATGAATTTCGCACACACGCGTTTCATTCCTAAATTTTCGGTTAAAATTTCTGAAATGATAGTTTTTGGTATCCCAAGGTCTTCTTCTAGTTCTCGCAAAGTCATACGACGATCTTGTTCGATTGCAAGTCGCACCCGCTCAATATTATCTGCGGTTTTTGTCGTCGAAGGTCGGCCGGAACGAGAATCACTATCGACGAAAGTGCGATCATCCTTGAACCGTTTATACCACTCTTTCATTCATGTTTTGCTCATACGCTCGCTTCCGAAGGCCTTTTGCATCATTTCAATAGTTTCCGAACTTGTTTTTTCCGAGTTGAAAGCAAAATTTGATGCAAATTCGTTGATCTTGTTTTTCAGTCATTTTTGACAATATCAAAATCCGACGAATGCGAAAAAGGCACTGTAAACAAAGACGCGCTGCACATGAACTATACGTCCGGCAGGTGTCAGTAAGTAACCAATAGATTCGTGAGGCCTTACTGTTGACGTTTCTGTCCGGTAGAGGTCGCTCGTACACTATGGCGCGAAGATATAAACGTAGGCCCGATACTTTCCGGACAGACCTCGTACATTAATAATGATAATTGTTATTCCTTTTCTATTTAGTGTAAGTTAAAGTTGTTTCCTCAACAAAATATACTTAAGGAATGGAAACAACTTTTTTCTTATATGGGGAAAGGTGTGACATACTGCCTATGTTACGTGTCGTGCACAATTGTAGTAAGGCAACCGGGCGAATGTTCAAAACTCCTTTCATGTATTTTAATATATTACTCGTAATCTACGTAGGTTCTTAGTTCTCACATTCGACCAATATATTTGCCTTCCCTTGGATACTTGAATTTCGAAACGCAAACGGTAATAAAATTGTCACTTAAGGATGGCGGGCCATAAATAATGATTTCAAAAAAGGAAAACAACGTTTCTTGACGATTCGTAACTCGTCAGAGTTTAATAGGTTTTCCGCTGGAAAGCCCAAGTTTTTTGTCGCCATTTGGGAACAACAGCGCTACACGTGCGAACCATCAACGAGGATATAAGAGAGGCCGAGACTGAGAGCCAGGGAGAGAGAAAAACAGCCTCTCAATTTATCAGCGCCCAGAAGAGGGACGTCCTTTTGCCTCCCAGGCACGCGCGAATTGCAGCGAGCAGCATCGACCGGAGCTTCAACGCTGAATCATCGATCTAACTACCAAGTCATCTAGCTTAAGCTTTTTTTCTTTGTACACGATGATCCATTTTAATCGCCGCAGCCGAATTACTCGGAACCTAAGCCAGATAGGGCAAAATGGTTCTGACAAAAGTTATAGAGGGCAAAGGGAGCAACACAATAGGGCTAACGCTTTTGACCTTGAACTTGACCTTGAAGGTTATTTCAAGGTTAAAGTGTTTTTTTTAATTGGGAAGCCCTATTTTGGACATCGGATTCGGAAAGAGCGGAAAATCTTACGTCCGACATGGTATTCAGGAAATTTTTTTCATGTATTTTACCAATGGGCTTTACAAATGATACAAAATGATCCAGACTTTTTTAACTTTGTTTTGTTTTCTGATGAGGCCAAATTTCAAAGTGATGGGGAACTGAATAGGCATAATGGTAATGACTAGTCTGATGTAAATCCTTATTGGTATCGAACTGTAAACCATCAGAGACGTTGGAGTGTTATGGTGTTGTGCGGGATTGTCAATGGACACTTGATTGGTCCTTATTTTTTTGAAGTAAATGTAAATCAACATAGTTACTTGCGGCTAATAAGAGATGAACTGCCTGGATTGCTGGAAGATGTTAACTTAGAAACGCGACGAAGAATGTGTTTCCAGCAGGTTGGCGCAATACCACATTTTGCTTGAATCTTAAGGGCTTTTTTGAATGAAAACTACAGTATCAGATGGATTGGGCGAGGAGGTTCGGTTAACTGGCCTACTTGATCACCCGATCTTACATCACCAGATTTTTATTTATGGGGGTACTTAAAAAATGCTGTTTTTGAGCAACAACCCACTTCAAGAGCAAATATGCAGGCAGCATTCGTCGAGCATACGCTGCTATTCCGAGGCAAACTTTGTTGAACACCGTTCGCCATTTTCAAAGGCGTTTGACAATGTGTCTTGAAGCAAATGGTCGTCATTTCGAACACTTGCTTCGAGGTTAGTGAGAGGCAAGGAGACTCACGTGAAACAAGCACCCCAAAGGAAACAAACCTTACTACGTCCACGTCGTTGTTTCTGGGTAACGCTGAAAGTAAGGAAAACTTTTTCAAGGTCAACATTTTCAAGCTCGTTGTAATGTTGGTGTTGCTATTCATGAGAAAAGGCTAGCAAATAGCAATCATAGGATTTTGTAGCATTTGACCTTGAAATTCCCTTCTCAAGGTCATGAAAAAAATTTCCTGAAGACCATTTTGCACGTAAGATTTCCCGCTCTTTCCGAATCCGATGTCCCAATTGGGGTTCCCAATTAAAAAAAAACACCTTAACCTTGAAATAACCTTGAAGGTCAAGTTCAAGGTCAAAAGCATTAGCCATATTGTGTTGCCCTCTTTGCCCTCTATAACTTTTATCAGAACCATTTTGCCCTATCTAGCTTAGGTTCCGAGAAATCCGGCTGCGGCGATTAAAATTGGTCACCGTGTATAAACTGTCACAAATATATATAGAGGCTTCACAGATAGTTAAGTCCCCTTTTCAAAATAAAGTATTGTTTATTTTTCTCATTTTCCAAGTTACCGGATCCGTGTAGATTTTTCCTTTTTGGATTTGCTTGAGTTACATGCCCTACAAAAGGTGGGGATATAATATAAGGAAGGATAAGTATACGCGCGGCCAGGCTTCGCAGCATTTCATGTTATGCCTACTCACTTGCGTGCTGCTGGCGCGACACTTGATTTGCACACTATCCTAATTTATAAATGTGTTTTAATTTGACGATCTTTCCACTTTTCATAGTTACGCGTGCGTGTGATTCTGTTGCCCGACGGAATCTTTGCAGTTAGAGCACATTAATGCTTGCCGATCTGACAAAGTCTTTCAAATTGACTGTCATGTTACAGATTGAGCGAAAGCTCTCGATACATAGTAGATTACAAAAAATTATTACAAAAACATGGGTATGATATTAGAGGCATAAAATACTCTCTACTTAAAATCTATCTTTCCCTATGTGATCCATACGGTAAAATTCTAGGTCCACTTCCATTTATTTCTTATCCTATGTAAATTATTTACTTATTCTATGATATTATATATGGACGATACAACTCTAATAGCTAATAGTAGAAAATGGGAAAGTAGAATAACAACGATAAATGAAGATATGCAAATATTTGCTAATTAGTTAGATTTTAATAAATTAGTATTATAAAGCTACGATGAACGTTGTGCATTAAATGAATATTTTTTCTGTTACAATTTTATAAAAGATTGTTTTTATATAGATGTATATGTATATGTAACTATTAAATAATTATTTCATTGTTACTCTTCGTTAGCTTGAATAAATCTGATTTTTTACAGCAAAATATTAGATGCTGATATGAGTCCTTTAGGATTCGATACGCAAAAGTTGTATACGTTTGTAGCTGACCGTTTTATAAATACAAATTCTAAAATTCAAGAGCAAGCCATTAGCTGGTTACAAGCACTGACGATGCTTGAAATTACAATTCCAATTTCTCATTTACTTTTGATGTTCAAAAATAGCGTTTGTGAAGATCAAGGTATAATTTCTGAGAAGGATACAAGATTTAAAGAGGGTACTACTGATGCAAAAAATTATCAAGGTCCAGCAATACGTACGTTATAAAAATTAATAGTAAATTATTAACTTTATTGTTAAGCATATATATTTTGAATTGATAAAACGTTAACATATAATATCCTTAATATTTTAAATAAGATTACCAAATAATGACATATGTTAACCATTTTATATTAATTTCAAATGTTGAGTGTATATTTATTTAGAAAATTTAATGGAATTAAGCTAGTTTTAATAATAGGTAGCGTTTTGAAATTAGAAAAGATTTATAGTTTGTTTTTTTTTATTCAAAAATTATAAGCTATAATAGATTCATTTACCTGTAGTTTTCATATAAAATGAATTATATATATATATATATATATATATATATATTGTAGGATGGTTTTATGGAATAGCGAGTGGGGTTTGATACTAAAAGGTTTATTTAAAATCTTATAATAAAAATGATACATATAGTATTTGGATTGGCCGTTTCACAATGTCGCACGCGTGTCCGGTCGCTTCAGGCGCTATCGTGAGTGTGTTTTTCCCTTTCTTTTCGCTCGCCAGCCTCTACAAAATCCAATAGGGCACCTATCCCCTCCTACTTCAAGGGCGCAAAGACAGACGCGACGCAGGAGAAGACCGCATAATCTCGATCACATTTTACAAATGAAGTAAACAAATAAACCCTACAATATACTATAACGGAGAGAGAGGAATCGGACGGTGCAATACCCCGCTATGAATTAATTTAAGAAAAGTGTCAAATGAAAGTTGCAGTAACGTGGAGGAGGCCGTTGTAGTTAAGCGAAACCCGACCTAGTAGCTGCAGAAATGTCTCTTACACGGTCTTCTTGCCGTTGGGTCCGTGGAGGCGTCGTACGACGATTCGTCGCGGCTAAAAACGCGGAATATAGAAACGACTACGCAATAGAATAACACCAGGGGTGTGAAGGATCGGGCACAAGTAAATAAAGTACAAAATCGCAATAAAATAGATTTATATATGTGAAGAACAAAGGAAGATTACACGCAGCGTAAGTACGAAAGAGAGAAGGTGCGCAAGCAAAAAGAAAAATAATGAGAGAGAGAGAGGAGTCGAGCTGGCACTTACATATAAAAAGCGCGTTCGCTAGGGCTGTCGTAGCCGTCGCTCTCTCTGAATGTAGCGCGGACGCGTCGTCGCAGGTGCAGGTAGAAGAGGAAGCGTGCGACGACAATACCGGCTCGCCCGAACGCACCTTAAGACTGTTAAACTTAAAACTGTTCACACGTGGACACTGTCGAAGTCACCGCACTGCACACAGGATCGCAAGGACAATGCGCCAGACGCGAAGACAACCAATGCTGTCCGTAATATCGCTTGTAATAATTGGTAGAGGACCGAGTACGGATAGAAAACGATAGGTAAAAAAAAGAAACGTGCTGCGAGTTCGGACGTCTTGCTTTGAATGCTGTCAATAATACGCCAAAGGGCTCTCCCTGTCTTTTCCTTATGCCGGGCACCTATTTAAGCGGCGTAAATGAGGTGTCGCGCTCTCTCTCTCTTTCTCTTTCTAATGGATCGGTGATTGGCGCGTGCATTCTCGCTCTCTCTCGCACTTACCTCTTCGCACTACTAAAAGAAACAATATGTATTTGTGTATGATATGCGTATATATAAATATATATATAGTGTATAAACATGTATAGGTTTGAGGAGAGAGAGACATAACGAGGAAAATATTTACTCGTTATATATTCCCCTCCCCCAGATGCTGGTTGCACGGAGTGTACCAGCTCGAAATTCTAGTCGTTCTCTCTGAAAATAAATGCAATTTAATATAGCAATTAACAATATGCTTACTAAGCCTATTTCTCTCGCTTTCAAAAATGAGTCTTATGGTTTAGGCGAGATACGCGCATCTAATCGTACTAAAAGAAACATTTGAAAAGTAAAGGAAAAGAAAGAAATAAATTATTATTTAATAAATTATAAATTATCATTTTCGGCGTCAATGCCAACAATAATCTAAAATTGAATTAGATGTGGTATTTGCAAAGTCGCAACAGTAAAGGGCAGCCCGGAGAAGCGCATACGCAATGTCGCTAAATCTTCATTGCTCTTGATGCAACAGCACGGAGATGCGTGGAAATATTTTTATTTATTATTATTTTTTTTAATTGTCCTTATCCTGCTGTATGAGGCGCCTCTTGAACTCCTGGGCTCCGTGGATCATGTAGGCGGAAATTTCATCCTCCGTGTACACAAATTTGGGGTAAGTCCCATTCCAGAACTTGTGATAAATGAAGTAGTTGAGACAGTCCAATGTTCTGGAGATGCCCCTTAGACCGCAGTCCTTGCACGGCCACTTGTCGATCTTGTCCTCGCGGAAGCCATTCCACTTTCCGCAAAGCGACGTGGCATATCGCTGTTGTTCGGCGTAATAACCAAGTATTCGATGTCACGGAGTTGAAACACGAGTAGTGAAGGGTACTGCGTTTAACGCATTTAGTTGGGCCTTAATAGCCTCTAACTCCCTTAGTTTTTTCTCCTGTTCCTGTGCGAGTCGGAGACGGAGTTTCTCCTTTTACCTGCGTGTCTCACAATCTGCTTTCCACTGGGAAATCAGTGCTTGTTGTCTGGCCAGTAACTGCAGACTCTCTTCGGCTTTATCAGCGAATTCGCCAGCCAAGCTTTTCCCTCGGGCTTCATTTCGATCTACAAAGGCGCGGGCCGCTAGTTAGGCTTCCTCTTCCTTTCTTGCCACCTGGATACGCACGTGCGCGCACGCACCATTTCGTCTTTAATCTTGGCCCATTCCTGACTAAGGCTCTGGAAGGCACTCGGTGGTGGAGGCCTGACCTGAATGGAGGAGCTAAGCGTGGTTGAGTTGCTGCTAGATGCAGAGGTCGCCTCTCGGATTCTTCTCTCGGCAGTCTCGTGTGCGTATCCTTCACGCATACGCTGTTGCGAGAGTCGCCAAGCCGAGAGCGCTTCCTCTCTCTCCTTCCTGTGAAGGGCATTAGTTGCCCCCTCAGCTCTTGGGGTTTTGCTATCCTCACTGGTGCTGTTGGAAATGGAGGATGCGTCTTCGCTGGTGTTGTAGATTTTGGAGGGTGCGTCTATGTTGCCGCTGTGAACCGCTAGAGTTGCGACGTTACTTCCGGGGGCATCTGGAGCAGCCGTTGGGGCACTGTTGAGTGGGCCCATATGCAGCTCCAACAGCGATTGGAAGGAAAGTGGCCCGTCCTCCGATGGGCTTAGACCCAGCATGGCTATCAATTAGTAGCCGATTTCCACCGTCATCTCGTCCGTCAGATCATCAACCGTGACTGCGAGACTTACCCACTGTAGGACCTCGGACATCCAATCCCTAAGGATTGAGACCATGTCGGTCTCCTTGTTAAAAATTCGAGCAAAATTTAGTATTTCGGATATTATTTCCCGTTGAACCAGTCAATGGCTGAACGTCGATGGAAGCGTAAACAAGCGAAGCAAGTAAGCAAATTTAGTTAAATTTATGGAAGAAGAGAAGTGAAGAAAAGTAAAAATATGAGAGAAAGTCGTTATTTCTTTCCTGGTCGCAAGTGCCGCGGGGATAACTTCTTGGGCTTCGGCTTGGGTTTCCTCGAGCCCTTCCTTGGCGCTGCCACGGCCAAGTCAGTTACCAGTGAAGCTTCAACGACCATATTTTCGGTTATCTCGTGTTTGTTGCTCACGCTAGGAACCTGAAAGGGTAGAGTGTACTCGTTGCCAGCAAATGGACGTTCGAAAGCTGAGTCCTGCTCAATGTGAAAAGCTTCAAGCTCCTCTTCGTCATTATCATTGTGCGAATCCAAACGAAATTGATTTTCGTCGTAGCATGGTTTTAAATCGACAAAAGCGACCTTACCAATGTCAGTTCTATTTTCTTTCTCTAACTGATATATGAGTTCATGCCGAGACGTTTCGTCATGATAAATGGACCAGCAAACTTGGGCGTCAATTTTGCGGCTATTTGCTTAGCCTTGGAGGAGAGTGCACGGTTTTTTGTCCAAATTCTGTCCCCGACGTCGTTGATGACATCACGGTGTTTGGCGTTGTAGTATTTTTTTTGACGGTCTTGCGCTGCCTTCGTGTTCTCTACGGCGTTTGCTCTAAGATCATCAAGCTTATCGCTGCAACCTTGAGTTCATTGACGGCTGCGTGTTCTTCAATTCCTTTTAACGAGTGGGATTGCTCTGGCTTTCAACCAAAGATAAGAAAAGCGGGACTCGCACGAGTCGCTTCTTGTATTGCTATGTTATAAGCAAAAGCGAATTCTGCAATATGCGCATCCCACGTGTTGTGTTTTTCTTTAATAAAAGAGACATTCATTGTCTTTATTGTCCAATTTATCCTTTCGGTGGTATTACTCTTGGGTGAATAAGGCGCGCAACTCGCATGAATTACGCCATACGAATGCAAAAATTCGTCGACAAGACGTTTCTTGAATGGTGTGCCTTTGGCGGACAAAAACTTATCGGGTACGCCAAAGCGTAAAAAGAAACGCTCTCTTGATTCACGTCTAATCATTTTTGCATTCCCCTTGCGAATATGTATGCATTCAATCCATCGCGTGAAAAGATCTATAAAGATCAGCAAGTATTCGTGTCCTTGCGTCGACCTGGGAAAAAGTCCCATGGTGTTACCTGCGACGATCTCCCATGGATGTGAGACTATGTGTCGGCCCATAAGTCCTACAGGCGGAAGCTGTTCCACCTTGACTTGTTGACAGATCAAACAGTTACGCACATAGTGTGCAACGTCCCTATTAATTCCAGGTCAATAATAGGTAAGAATTGTGCATTGATGAGTTTTATAACGGCCTAAGTGCCCCGCCGTCAGTTCTTTATGACATTCGGCGAGTACGCTCTTACGTTGTTCGTACAGCACAACGAGCTTCCATTCATCGTCGTCGTCACCAAACAAATCATCGATCCATGGATCAGGCCTGTAAGTATACAGGCGGCCACCTACGCACTTCCAATATGAGTGCGTTTTTTGATCCTTGAGGTCTTGCTGAGCTTTCCTCAAATACCAAGCGT